TTCATTTTTGTCAAAATTGTTGTTTGTTGGAACAGAGTATGGAGCGGGTGTGCATGTATCAGCAAAAGGAGATATCTACAGCTACGGAATTCTTGTGTTGGAGATGCTGACCGGAAAGAAACCAACGGATAACATGTTTGGTGAGGGTCTAAGCCTACACAAATTCTGTGAGAATGCAATTCCAGATAGAATTATAGAGATAGTAGATTCACGTTTGCTTGTGTCCAGTGCTGAAGAGGGAACAAGGGTCATGGAAAGAACCATTGGGGAGTGTTTGGTGTCCTTTGCTAGGATTGGAGTTGCATGTGCCGCAGAATTGCCCAATCAGCGAATGGACATAAAAGATGTGATAGTGGAGTTGCAAGCAATCAAACGGAAGCTACCTTAATTTGTTAACATTTTTGTGTTAACAAATTAAGGGGTTTGCCTGTAAGGTGATTAACTCTTGCATCCATCACTTGAACTGCTTCGATTCTACTTAGCCTACTTAGTGAATAGTGGTCTTTGTTGACTAGTAGTAACCACATGAACGTATCTCTTGAGTGAAAGTGATGAGAAAATAATATTATCATATGCATAATGCATGAGGAATAAAGAAAAAGGGTGGGAAGAAAAAAGACCTTTTGGGCAAAAAGAAAATATTAATCATAAGTAGTTTTCTATGTTTTTCCACCTTCTCTACAGTGTCTTATTCTAGACATGGATTAAAGTTTAGTCTAAAATATGTGTTTAATCCATTTTTTTTAAACATATCCGGTGGCATGATTAATATTTTTAGGTATTGAGATTTATTATGGACGATAAGATCCTCAAGTTTTCATTTACAAATTATCTTTTTAAATATAATTTATATCTCAATTTAAATTGTTCATTTTCTTTAAAAGTAACTCTTAGAACTATTTCAATTAATAATTTACTGTCTGAATTAAAAATTCAATGATCCAACCTTTTAAATTACAAGTTCTTATTCAACAAATCAAGTCTAAAAATTTAAATTTTAATAAACAGATCAAGTCTATATATTTTTGTAAAATTTGAAAATTATATAATACTTATTTTATATATTAAAATAAATATATTATATATTTTTATGAATATACATTAAATTGAATTAATTTAATGAAATACCAAATGATTTTTAAATTTTATAAAAATTTATAAACCTAGTTTATTCATTAAGAATATTTAATTTAACGGCTGAATCGTTGAAATTCAATATAAATTATGAATTATTGAGTGAAATAAATTTAACAAAAGTTACTTTTGAAATAAGTAAATCCAAGCTCATCTATTCTTACATGCATGCCATGTATGCATGTATGTGTATATTATAGGATAAATTACACTCACTTCCGTTGTATTCTTTCAAGATTGTACTTAATACCTTTTCGTTATTTAGATCTACGGTGAGTCTCCTTAAAAATTGAAAAGATTTTACACTGTTTGTTGACCCACAAACAACATCAACTCTATTAACATATTCATGTCATGTTGTAACGTAGTTAGTAGACTGGAACGGGCCATTCCAAAATGGTCATTGTGAGTTAAATTCAACTCCAGAATGGACCGTTCCGATTTTAGAACGGGTCATTCTAGACCTGCCAGAACGGGTCGTTTCGATTTCAGAACGGGTCGTTCTGCATGTGAATTTTACACATGATGAAGGAGCCCAGAACGGGTCGTTCCGGATTTGAAACGGGCCGTTCTGGCCACTTCAGACTTCTATAAATAGAGGTTGTGCAGTTGAGGAGAAGGAGAGGTTTTTAGAGAGATGTTTTAGAGAGAAAGACTCTGGACTAGGAAGCTTGCTTTGGGTGGATTGAAATCCCGGGTTGAGCTTCGGAAAGGAAATTCCACTTCTTCTCAATTCTTGGCTATTCTAAGCCAATCTTCAGGTAAGGGAAGCTAGATTGTATGTTGTTTGGTTGTATGTGAGTTTAGAAACTCATATGTAGTTGTATAATTACATTGAGATGTATGATGAGTAGAAAGTGAAATGAAGAGATGCATGTTGAGTATAGTGAAGTTGTTTACAAGTTGTGTGTGGATCTATGATATTGTTGAAGCATGTTGAAATTAAGAGAACAACACAACGTCCACTCCAAGGGACAACTTCCCAAGGAGGGTTTTTCAACAAATTGGGCTCTCAGAGCACAACAACTATCTCAATCCACACAATGGGATGAGCAACTTCGAAAACATCTTCCCTAGTCCTAGTGATCAACAACTCATCATCACAGCTTAATCAGCTTACAACTCAACAACACAACTCAACTCAACAACTTAAACAACATACAACTTTTCAACTCATCATCTCAATCAACTTTCAACTTAAACAACATGGTATATCAGCACAAAAACTCATCAATATTGTTTAACAACACATTTTAACAACACAACATCTCATTTCAACTTTAAACAGCACAATCAACTCAACAGCTTATTAGCTCAACTCATAATTCACAACTCATTCATCATAAAATAATATCTTTTCAACACATGGCACAACATACAACTTTATAGCAACATACAACTCTTCTCTAACAACTTAACAACATAGTCTACTAATAACATCTATATAAATCACACACATCTACACACTTCACATCATGCTTCTCACAAATATAGGTGCTTTGTGGCAACCTTCCACACTACAATGCCTCACAAAATCTCAAGAAATACAAGAGAGAGAAAAAGGAAGAAAAACAGAGAAAAACAGAGAAATTTCGAGCTCTGGACAAAATTTGGAACCCCCTCAGAAATGTGCCCAAGCTCTCTATTTATAGGCTTCAGGCAGGGGGTCCAGAACGGCCCGTTCCAAAATTGGAACGGCCGG